AATTAATAGATTATTTGTGAATTTATGGTAGATAATTGAATCATTAATTTATTATAGGCCTGTTGGCTATAATAAATTAATTTAGTTAATAATTTCAAGATATAAAGAAAAGTGAATTTGTATAGTAAAGGAAAATGCGTAATTAAGTCAGTGAAGGTCATTCTAGTATGTTCTATAGTTGAAAATTTTGAATTGAGCCGCTAAGATATTAACAGTTGATGTTTAGAATTTTGTTTAGAAAAGATTTAATTTAGTAAATTTTGTTACGAGTTCAGTAGAATTTATTAATTGAAAATATTAGCAGAAAATTTAGTAAGTGAACTAGTACAGAAATTTAGTGATTATTTAATGTAGTTGAATTTATTTGCAGTAAATCAGTGTTGAAGTGAAATTTAGTAGATTATGATAGTATTGTAAGTTTTGGAAAGTTTAATTTAGGCCGGTGGATAATGTAATTGGATTGTTAATTTAGAAAAGTTGCATAATGAATTTATTAAGAAATTGTTTGAATTTAAAGATAATTTATTAGAAAATTTCGATAAGGTAATTCGGTGAATTTAGTAAATTTAGTAAATCTGAAAATTGGATTTTATTTATGAATAATTGTTGAGAGGTTATTTAAGAAGATTTAAGAAATGGATTTGGATAATAAGAAATTTATGAGTAATTAAATTTAGTAAACCAGAATATGTGCAGAGTTTTGTTGAAGAATTGTGAATTATGATAGGATTAAAATTTGGAATTTTAGTTCAGTAGTGATTTAGATAAATGAATAAGAATTAAGAATGAATATGAATTTGGAAGCTTTTTATGAAATTTGGAAATTTTATATTGTCAGTTATTCCGTCAAATAACGAGGGTTTTAAGTAATTAAGGAATAGAAGATAGACGCGTAATGGTCTATATTTGAGTTAAAATTTAAGAATCTAGATGCGTAATGGTCTATGATTAAATTTGGAATTAAAGATAGATGCGTAATGGTCTATAATTGAGTTAAGAAATTAAGAAGATAGATGCGTAATCGATCTATGTTTAAAAGAATTTAATGATATTTAGTTTATAAGGATTTTTGGCAGGTGCCTGTTGAGAAAGCGTTTCTCGGAAATTTTATATTAAGATTTTAACTGTAAAACTGTCTTGTTATTTTGTTAATTCTTAAGGTTTATTTTTTATTGTTTAATAAATTCGATTAACTAGATAAAATTGTCCTCAGTATTTATTTTCAGCCTATCTCAACTTCTTACGACCCGACTTTCCTGCTCGTGCTCTTCCGGTTTCTGGGACACCGCGAAAATAATCCCAGTGGCGCCCTTTTCATAAGGAAAGGGGTGACCAATTGAACAGGGTTAACCACCCCGTTACATAGCAATTGGTCTAACTCCTTATTTTGTAAAGGATAATTTTTTAACATTTTAATGTAGCAATAATCCAATTATAAATTATTTGAATGATCCAAACCAAAATATTATACCTCTGTTAGATATTAAATGGTTTTTTTAAGTGATAATAAAATTTTCACAAATTGTTTCTTCGAACAAATGGAAGATTGTCTTAAATGGGTTAGACAATTTATTAATTAGAACGTCGATATTTTTTTCATATCTTGCGATATTGAGGGATCTTGGTCATAAAGGAAATATTTTTCTAATAATTTAGCAGTAACACTGTATATCGATAACACTGTATATCGATCAAAGATCTCAAAAAGTATAAGGTATTGTTCTAAAGGAATAAATCCTTGACTTCGCGACTTTTATTCATCTCTGTTTCACTTACAGTTCAGAAGGAACTCCATGTTAATTACTTGTATTACTTGTAAAGGAACCAGAGCCAGTTGAACCGTGGTCTGATATAAGAGATGCCCAATTCTTCGGCAATATGTGTGCTCAATTTCACTGGGGATTGAAACATTTGGAGGGTAGTGATGACTGCCTTCATCTGAATGTGTACACCACAGATCTCACTCCTGAAGAGCCACGTGCAACGATGGTTTCATTACATGGTGGAGCTTTTTTCTGGGGTACTGGTAACGATCTTTTATATGGACCCGATTTTCTTATTAAGAAGAATATTGTGCTAGTAACAGTGAACTACCGTCTTGGTATTTTTGGTAAGAACTGTCAATCAAAGAATCATTTGGAATAATTTGTTAATTAATTTAGAAATTAAAAATAATAAATTAATCATAGGTTTTCTTAATTTGGATGATGAAGAAGTACCGGGTAACCAAGGTCTAAAAGATCAGATTCTGGCTTTAAAATGGATCAAAAATAATATTGCCAAATTTGGTGGGGATCCAACTCGTATTACGCTTTTTGGACATAGCGCAGGCGCCGCATCTGTTCATTTCTTGAGTTTTGTTCCAGCAGCTCAAGGTTCTTGTATAATAACACACTTATATTTTTGCTGGAATAATTTAAATATTTAAATCGTTATTTATATCGTTATTTTATAGAGTTATTTCACAGAGTAATACTACAGAGTGGACTTGCGACTGTTCCATGGGCAAGTCCATCACAACCCATGACATATGCAGCAACTAGAGTAGCTAGGAATTTAGGATGCAACGATACTGATACTAAAGAACTAATAAAGTTTCTACAAAGTGTAGATGCAGTTAAATTGGCTGACATTGTACACAAAACTTTTAATCCACAGGTAAATTTTATGAACCTGATTTTGATCTCGTACGGAAAAACTCTGATTAAAAAAAAGTATTGGTTTTCTAGTCAATCCAATACTTTTCAATACTTTTTTCTTGATCTCAATACTTTTTTTATTCAGGGAAATGACTGTAAAATTTACAAAAAATAATCTGAAAAATGTATAAACTGTAATATATTCTGTAACGTTAACAGAAAAAATTTGTAATTTTTACAGATGAGATAATGTAAAAACTACATATTGTTTCTGTAAAATTTACAGATAAGTTCTGTAAAATTAACAGATTAATTGTGTAAAGTCTACAAGAGTATTATGTTATCGTTGTAGAGTAACTTCTTGAATTGGAGTTAAGTTGAATTATTATTAATAAAAAATGTAAATATTGATCTATTAATAGTAAATTATGTGTGAATAAATAATTTTTTTCCTTGATTATAAAAAATAATTTGTTTAGAAGTACACGTGTAAAAAAATATTGTTCAAAAAATATTCACAGCTTGTAACATCAAAGCGTGACGCAATTGTGAACATTTTTTGAATACCCAATAAAAAATCGAGAATGTTTTGAGACATGCAGAGTCTGGATTGATAGATAAATTTTGAAAATTTTGTAACGTTTTTTGAACATATTAAGGACATTTCTTGGACATTTTTATAACTTTTTTCTTAGTCACACAGAAAAAAACCTGTTTATGTGAACAATTTTTTTTTATACAAGTACACTACAGTAGAACCTCGCTAACACGAACTCTTATAACACGAATTTCGCTTTAGCACGAACTATAATTTTGGTCCCTTGAAAATAACATGGGCTTGCATAGGGAAAATTCGTGTTATCCGAATTCTTTCATTAACACATACTTCAAACACATTTACGAGTCCCCACGCTTACGAAATTCGTGTTATCAAATTCCCACTATTCAAATTTTCTCGGCTAGCTGATAGAGCGTTAGTCAGTCCGCCTTCAACATGAAACGAAAACAGACTTCTATCGATTTGTCTTTAAAATTGAAAATTTTAGAAGAAGTTGAGAAAGGCGCGAAATCAAAAACTGATATCGCCAAAGATTTTGGAATACCAAAATCGACTTTGTCAACAATTTTAAGTAACAAAGAAAAATTATATCAAGCTATAGCTGCAGGTTCTGTGACACCAACTCAAAAAACAAAGCGGATGAGACTTGCAAAACATGAAAATTTGGAGGCACAACTGTTACCGTGGTTTAATAATATTCGAAGTGCGAATCTTCCAGTTAGTGGTCCTATTATTCAGGAAAAGGCTGACAAAATTGCAGAAGACTTAGGTATAAAAGGTTTTAAATGTTCCAGTGGTTGGTTGCATCGTTTCAAAAATCGACACAACATAGGGAGTGTGGTAATGTGTGGCGAGTTAAACAAGATTATTGAAACTGATGCGAATAAATGGATTACATATTTTGACGAAATTAAGAAACCATATGCTGCAAAAGATATTTTTAATTTTGATGAGAGTGGAATATTTTTTAATTTACTTCCGGATCGGACTTTAGCAATTAAAGGAGAAAAGTGTCATGGTGGCACAAGAAGTAAACAACGATTGACGGCTGTTTTTATCTGTAATTCGGACGGTAGTGAAAAATTACGCCTTTGGATAATAGGAAAGTGGGCTAATCCACGGTGTTTTAAAGGTATTGATCGATCAAAATTGCCGTGCGAATATAGTAATCAACGCAATGCGTGGATCGATGAGACTGCTTTTCGGCAATGGCTTATAAAATTTGACAGCCGCATGCGAGTTCAAAATCGCAGTGTTTTACTCACTTTGGACAATTGCTCTGCTCATAAAATCGGTTCATTGCAACTAACAAATGTTAAAATAATATTCTTCCCTTCAAATATGACTAGCAGACTTCAACCTCTCGATCAGGGCATCATTGCAGTCGTTAAAAAAAACTACCGAAAATATTTATTGCGCCATGCTATACACAGTTTGGAGAGTAAACAACCACAAAAAACATTGAACGTATTACAAGCGATCCGGTTTATAGGTTTAGCGTGGAAGTCTGTAACGGATAACACGAATTTCGTTATAACGAGAACAAATATTCTAGTCCCGTCAAATTCGTGTTAACGAGGTTTTACTGTATAAAAATCAGAAAAATTAAATTTTATTTGGAAAACATTAAAAAAAGTGATATAAATTAATTTGGAATAATTCTGATCCAAGTAACGCTTCTCAATTCATTAAAATAAACTTTAAGTAATTATTACAGAAAAAATTTTGTCATAATTACAGAAAAAGTTTTTTTATAATTACACACTCAATATCTAAAATTCACAGATTTAAAATCACAGATTTCACCACATAAAAATAATATATTAAGTTCTGTAAATTTTACGGAGTAGTTTTTTCCGTGAAAATTTTAGTAGTAATATGAAGCGACGATAATTTTGATGATGATTTTTACCCAAAAATTTAAAAAATCTCTTAACGACACATTTATTTAATAGAAATATTATACTCCTGAGAAACCATTTGTGCCATCCATAGATTCAAAATCGAAAAATCCGATTTTACTCGCATCAATCAGTGATTTAGCGAAACAGAGTATAAAAAAACCTACTATTGTTGGTTACAACACCGAAGAGGCCATTTTTTTGTTAGCAGGTGCGTGAATCTTATTTTTAAGATTTTTTAAAACAGATTTCTGAGAAGAAACATTTTTTTTGTTCAATTTTCATATGTTATTGGTTTATTACTACAAGTTAATAATCATAATAATAACTATATATAATTTCAGAGGCTGAAGATGATGATTATCAATATATAGATATGCTATTAATATTTTCAAATGGAAAAAAATTTTTACAAGATCGTGGTGTGTCTAGTGGTGATGTGAAAAAATATTTTATGGGTGATAAAAAATTCAACCGAACAAACGCCGCGCCAATAATACAGTTACTTCAAGCATACTTTCAGACAACGTATGTCGATGAATTTCTCGAAATTCAAACTACAGAAGTACCTGATATACCAGTATATTTATACAAATTTGATTATTATTCAAAAGAAACTGCGATGGTGCAAAAATTTTTCAAATCCGATTTAAAAGGTAGCTTTTTTAAAATATTTTCTACTGTACATGGGTCATTCCATGTCAAATCGACCCCTTTCGATTTGGACAAACTTTGGTCAGAAGTTTTCTTTTATCATATAACGAAGTTCTGCCAAAGGAAAAAAAATAAAAAAATTTTTTTCAAAAGATATGCAAATTCTAAATTTCGCAATTTTTCCAGTTTTTCAATTTTGTTTTTGTAATATCTCGAACGTTATTATAGATACAGGAATGGCCTTTTGATTGTTCGAAAGGGGACAATTGGCTATTGAAAAAAAAATATTTTGTCCGTTTCTTCACTTCAATTACAGTTTTTAACGCCAAATAACTTAAATAAAAATTAATTTTCAATAAAAACTAGAAATAATGAGATGAGAATATAAATTTTTTTTCGTTCTTTCGAATACTTACTTACATACAAATTTCTACACATTAATGTTTCTCAATCTCAAATTTCAAATTATTTCCATGTTGATAGGATGATAAGTGGTGTCAACAACTTGAAATAAATTAAAAAAAGGACAAATAACGAATTATTTCATGCGCTAAGGATGACTTAAAGATAATGTCCAAAAAATAAAAAAATAAAAAGACCATTCGGCAGCCGAAATGGATGTAGATTTCATCATAAATAGTAAAAAATATAACGACGATTGTATACAAAACTAGGGCTTCTAACTTCTATGCAATCGACAAAAATATGTATCGACAGAAAAATACTAAAACCAGTGCAATAGCAAATTTCATAATTGGCATAGCGGAATAGGACATAATTCTGAGACTACACATATGATATGGTACTCAAATTATAGCTAATTTAAAGAGCTTTCAGATGCATTTTAGAGAATTTCAATAAGTTATCCCATTCAAAAGTTATTCCCTTTACCTTAATTAAAAGTTATTACCTTAATTAAAAGTTACAAAAAACGAAAAAAAATTTTTTTTGGAAATTCAAAAATTCATATTTTTGAAAAATAAAACACCCTTCAAAATTTGACAAATTTGGCACTTTTGAAAATTTTTTTCCAAAATATTTTTTTTTCAATAGCCCTGAGTGTCCCCTTACAAACAAACAAAAGGCCATTCCTGTATCTATAATAGCGTTCGAGATATTACAAAAACAAAATTGAAAAACTGGAAAAATTGCAAAATTTTGAATTTGCATATCTTTTGAAAAAAAATTTATTTTTTTTCCTTTTGGCAGAACTACGTTATATGATAAAAAAAAACTTCTGACCAAAATTTGTCCCAATCGAAAGGGGTCGATTCCAACTATTTGTCGATTTGACATGAAAAGAAAATTTTAATTGCTTGTGTTTATCAGGCACAGCTCATGCTGAGGAAATACCTTATCTTTTTTACTGTAAGTTTTTTTTGAACCTTGGTATTGAACAACCGATTTCTTTTCCATCTGGGAGGATCGTTCAACAAAGAATGTTGACACTGTGGACAAATTTTGCCAAAACGGGGTAATTATTTTCCACAATTTATTTGTCGTTATAAATACGAATTAATTAATTAATTAATTAATTAATTAAATAATAACTGTCCGTTAATTGACAATCCTGTGATTTGCAGAAACCCAAACTTGCCAAAATCAGAAGTAATTTCTGTTGATTGGAAGCCGGTGGATAATTCAACTGAATTCAACTGTCTGAAAATTTCTGATAATCTCACTATGATACAAGAACCAAACATCTTGCGTCAATTAGAAATATTCGCTCGACATGACGAATGATTAGAAATCAAGATAAATTAATTAAAATTTATTTAGATTGAGTATAATTGATAGCTTCTTTTACAACAAATTTATTACTTAAAAATCATTTTACGTTCTCTTTATTTTTTAATTATTTTTTTACATTAATTTAATGTTTATTAAAATGATTGGAATTAGACGCCTAACAACAATCACGTAAAAGAAATAAAATAAATTCATTATACTGTGATTTAATGAAGATTGTAAATGATTCAATGTCAAAGGAAAATCTTAGCATTGAAGTGAACTTGACGTCTGATATAAAACATATAAATTTAACTTATTATGACATTTGTCCTTATTAAAATATTTGGTGTATTTATACAGCATTCACTTATATGATTATGACACCGTATAAATGATTGATTGCATATGGTGCAAGCAAATCTGGTTATTATACAGATAATATTAAAATTTCTAATTTATAGACTTCTAGATCTTCAATATTTTAGAATAAAATATGATGGCATTGAAATATAAGAGATAAAAGAAGGTAAAGAAGGAGTAGAAGACGCAACTTCTTTAAGAGAGGGCATAGTCAATACTGCTAGATCAAATTTATCGAAAAAATTCTAGTGTAATGATACGTAATAAGTAATAAGCAATAAGTAATATGATACCAATTATACACATTTTTATGAGCTATTTATTTAAAAATTCCTTTTAGCGGTTATGACTTTTTAATCATAAAACGCTCTTACTTTTTTAAAAAATTAGGCGAGAAGGAGGCTCAGTAAAGAAGGGAAAAGTGTTATTCCATAGCGTAGAGTTTATAAGGGAATCCACGTTAATCTAACTCATAGGGGTTTTTATCTTAAGAAAGTCAGACTGGTCGTAATAGTTTTTCTATTTAAATAGTAGATTTCAACTGATATTGTTTTTTTTTAACAGGTAAATTTCAGTTAAATTTCATGATAATTTAGTTATTTAGGCATGACACATCTGAAAATTAACGTTTTAAAATATATTTTTGCCAAATCATTTAATTTTTCGACGGATTTACGATAATAAACACGAAAATAAATTTTTTAATAAGTTTTAAAACTTTTTGTGTTTAAGATAAATTTCATGTCGACCGAAAATTGTTTATAAAATGTGTCCACATAAGTTTAGCAATTTCTATACCTAGTCATTTTTCCGGTATTGTACATGAGAACACAAACAAAAAAAGTTTTTTCCTATTTTTTTCAATTGAAAAATTGAAATTTGTAAAATTATTTCTTTTTTTTTAATAGGGTAAATGCACCAGTTGTTGACCGGTCACCAATTAGTTGACCGATGTATAAAATAGTTAATTAATTAATATTTTACAAGGGTTTTTTTTTAAAGTATTAAAATAAAAAAATATGGCATTTAATCATCATAATAAAAAATTACGCAATTAATTGCGCAGTGATTATAGCTTTAAAAAAATATTCTGAGTTTGTTTACAACGGAACCAGCCATAAAGTGGTCAAAAATAACTAGCGTACAATTGGAGAGTGAGTGCATTTCATCATTAATTTAGTGATATTTATCGGCATAATATAAAATATTTTAGTTTTATTATGTTAATTAAAGATCAGATTCCAACTTTTTTGAAAAAATAAAGTTAAATTATAAGTTTTAATATTATTTTAAGACCGGTCAACTATTGGATCCGTCAGAAGCCCTTTACACAGTAAAAAATTCATTCGGTCATTTATTAGACTCTCTGATTTTATCACAATCTAATTAATGGCCGTATATTTATAATACTAACTTCTTAACTTCAAAATTAAATCTGTCAAGTGTTTAAAGTACTTTAGTCATTCAATATTTTGTAAATATAAAAATAATCATTATAAAATGTTTATTTATAATTAAAATAATATTTAAAATCTTTTTTGATTATTAAATTTTATTTTGTTCTAATTTTTTTAGTGAACGGTTATATCAAAGAACGAATTATTAGAAGAAAAAATTGCTAAGCAATTAAAAAAATAAAAAAGAGTTACAAGCTATAGTAAAAAAGCTTAATTGAAAAAAAGAAGGAGAAGAATAAAAAAATTTCAAGTTAATCAGAAGAATTATCGTCATCAAAATGAATTTGTGATTATTTGTGACCTAAAGAAATGGGACTTTATGTTAATTATTGCTATTATTTATAATATTTTATAAAAAAAGTACGATTTAAAATTATATTATATGTTTAGTTTTGTTAAAGATGTCGTTAATACTACAAAAGTAAGTATTTAACTTTAATAAAATCCATTACAAATTGTTTTTAGTAGGTTAATAGATTTTTTATAGCTTAGTACAGAAAAAGAAAACCTTAATCGGTCAATAATTGGTGCATTTACCCTATTCTATTTTTGATGAATCTTAAGTAAAAAATGTAATTTTTAAACCGAAATTTAAAAATCATTTTTACGGTTCGGAGTTCAGTACACCGCTCATTGATTGAAAAACAAAATTTAACAAATATTTCTTACAGTGGTGAATAATATACAGAATAATGAAGCCTGAGTTCAAAATGATATACTTGACGATTTTAATCAGTGCTGTTTTGCAAACAGTAATGTCAGGTAATTTTTTCATCAAAAGTAAATTAAATAAGCCTACTGTAAAAGTGCAGCAAGGTAGAATGCAAGGAATAAGGATAAAAAATGTTGATGGAAGCAGTTATTACTATGCGTTCCACGGAATTCCATATGCAAAGCCCCCCGTAAGAAAATTAAGATTCAAGGTATTTCATTTTTTCTCTACTACTATATAAAATTATATGATCTTAATTATAAATTATACTAACTATAAAAATATTGGCGAAAGGATCCAGAACCTGTAGAAGCGTGGTCAGGTGTGAAGGACGCTAAAAAATTGGGTAATGTATGCGCTCAGAGGAATTTCCTCACACAAAAAGTGATAAGCAGTGATGATTGTCTTTATCTGAATGTCTTTACGACCGATCTAAATTTAAACGACCCGAAACCCGTCATGTTATGGATTCACGGCGGTGCTTTTGCCTATGGTTCAGGGAACGATGACAGATTTGGAGCGGATTATATTGTTCAGAAAAACATTGTTTTAGTTACAATCAACTACCGTCTTGGCATATTCGGTAAAATTACAAATGTGTTTTATATTTTGTTGAAATTTGACATTTTACTAAACGAAAGGAATTTCAGGTTTTCTCAACATGGATAGCGAAGAATTGCCAGGGAATCAGGGATTGAAAGATCAAGTGATGGCATTGAAATGGGTACAACAGAATATTGCGAAATTCGGTGGGAACCCAAAAAATGTTACGATTTTTGGAGAAAGTGCAGGAAGTTCCTTAGCCCATTATCTAACTCTATCTCCTCTGGCTCAAGGTTTTAATAATTTGAGTTTGAATATATTAATATTAGATTTATAGACTGAATTTTAATTACTTAAATTTTAATCGGTCATTAGGATTATTCCAAAGAGTTATTCTACAGAACGGAGTAGCAACAAATCCGTGGGCAAGGACATCGGGCTCGATGAAAGAAGAAGCTGAAAAAGTTGCTGATGAATTGGGAAATAACGTAACCGATTCTAAAGATCTTATCGAGTATTTACGAAATGTCGATGCTCAGCGTTTAATCAATGCAGTACAGTCATTAGTTAATCAAAAGGTAAAATTTGGGATAATAAAATTACGTGAAACTGATTGCATAAATTTTTACATTTATTACTTTTTTTTAATTTTATGGATGTTTAATTGCTTGTAATCGTTCTTTATTTTATAGAATAAATACTTTAGCGAAAACCGATTTCTACCGTCCGTAGATTCCAAATCGAAAAATCCGTTTTTAAATGTATCAATCCTCGAGGCTGCCAAGTCTGGGATTAAAGTGCTTCATATTATTTGGTATAACAGTGAACCAGCGATAACATTACTTGCAGGTATTTAAATAGTATATTACGACCCAAGGCCAGAAAGTTGGATTTCCTGGCGTATGTGATATGATGGCCGAGGCGTAGCCGAGGCTATCATATCACATACGTCAGGGCATCCAACATTCTGGTCATGGGTTGTATACTATTTTTCTTGCTCTCCAGCCGAAAGTACGCAACCCCGGG